TGTATGTATGTATGTATGTATGTATGTATGTATGTATGGTTAAAAGGCACACTCTGTAAGAACTTGGTAAATGGGATGCCATACAGTGCAGTTGGAAGGAGGTAGAGAGATGCGGTTGAGCGCGTAATGTAGATAGTCTTTTGCTAGCATTAATCTCCCTTTCCAAATTCTACATTAAAAGGAAGAAGCTACTTAAATCAGAAATCTAGAAAAAATAAATATTAGGCGCCGCTTTTGTCTTACGTATTGTAAGTTGAGAGTCATCTTGTGTCATGGTTTTACATCTTAGTTTAGTCTTAGTTTTCAAGTTTTTGATTTGTAATCTGTGTTAATCTCCTCTGCTAAAACATCCTAAATCCTTCATAGTTTTTTTTTTTAATTTTATTTTCTATTTTTTAATTGCGATACTACACTTACATGTAATGTACAATTTTACAAAAACTGAAGTTACTTACATCACTATCACTACTTACAAATTACAAATTACAAATTACAAAACCAATCAACATTGCTTTCAATACTAACAATATAACAACCTTTTTAACAGGAGTTAATTCTAAATAACGATATTACTAATAGAGAAAAAATTAAAAGTAATACAACTAACAGATACAATACTACTGCTACTAATACACTATTCTAACAACTGACGAAAATAAATATGAACGAAAAATATAGGGCCATAAAATACTAAATTAAAGCTGTTCAAATGAAAAGGAAAACCTAAATATCATACAATTAATTTGCCTGTTTAAACAAAACTTCAAAGGAGAGGTCAGGGAGTTATAATGACTGGAGTATTTTGTGCCACTTCTGTCACTTCTACCAAGTAGTAAACAGTGATTGAATAACAAGGCGCTTTTCTCTCCTTTGAGACCTAAACATTGGCGTAAAGTTAAAACTTGCGAGGCTGGTATTAAAGCAACAGAGAAGAAAATTTTGAACACTATTCCAAAAGGCTTCTGTGATCGGGCATTCCCAGAAAAGATGAAGCAACCTTTCCTGTGCTGTTTGAGTTTATGGAATGAAATATGACAAACTCTACGTAAAAACAAAACTGTGCCGAATTAACTCTGTATGGGCACGTAACTTTTGCGTTTCTAAATTAAAAACAAGGATACAGTAAAAACCCCGCGTATAAAGAACCTAAGTTTTTCGGAGCTAGGCTAAGGTTTTTAGTCTATAAAAATAGTGCTAACTGGAAAACTAGCCTACTCAGATTCCTAAACACGTTCGTATTTTTAAAAATTAATAAGGTCTTTGTCATTGGTGGGTGTGGCCTATTTTTTGGTATTGCATGCGTAATATATGTTATAAAAATTCCTTTAATCCAAGCATGTTAAAGTCATTTATGAACTTTATATAAAGCTATGAAACAACATTAGGACATGGCGCTGTGTTTCCGCTGAGCAAACATGTTACTTGTGTATTCATCGTTTGACTGAATTTCTCATAATAAGAACCTGTTTCAAACTTGTAGGCTAAAACAGGTTCTTGTGTAAAAGGGGTCTAAATGGACAATCTTAGCCTAGCAGGTTCTTAAAATCTAGGTTCCTATTCGCAGGTTTTTACTGTAATCATCATTAACCAGACAAACTTAAAGAGAGAAAATGTTATATTTATTGTACGTATTTTGTAAATTTAAGCTACCGCCATTGTCAATTCAATCTGAGCAATATCTAATATACAAGTTCTACCAATTTTTCTACTTCTAAATGCACTTTATTGCATTAAACTTGAAGACATTGATTAAGGGCTGATTAAATTTGTTTCTTCAAGATACATCTCTGTTTTGTATTCTTGCACCATTTTTACACAACTAAACAGACCGAGATGAACCTTTTCTTTAGGTTCCTTTTCTCTACCAAAACTATTGAAGTTTGTTATAAATGTTACATGTGATTACAATTTTTAGTTTCATTTTACTATAAAATTTAACCTCTGAAATTGTTTTTTCAATAGGTCATGTTCCAAAGTAAATAATCTTCAAAATTTTAATTAATGAAAGACAAGTTGTTTCTTGTTTCATTGACAAAGTTGTTTGTAAATGGAGGAAGGGTACACCAAAGCTTATGAGAAACGGCACTAGTCAGAAGTTACTATGTACGGGGACGACGGTCGAAACGGCCCCTTTCGTTTTACGCTGTTCAATCTAAGTTAAACTTTTCTATCTCTACGAGTTATATTAGGGTTCCAAAGCAACCTAGTCAAGTTTCCTAACTGAAGTGCCTTGCGGTTTCAGTCAGAGTGCTGTTAATTACATCGGTGAGTATTTAGGGTGCTTTCGATTGAGCATATTTCAGAAGAAAGAATACGCAATGCTTTATTTACAAATTTCTTCTTGCGTGATTTTTGGACCATTTAAACTCTACATACATCGAAATATTTCATTTCAAGCAGATTTGTAGGTGCTGCAATACAAAGAATACTATATAAAAGCAAGTGATTTCTAGAACGTTTCTTCCACATTTACTTATTTCGAAATACGATCAATCGAAAACGCACAGGCCCTTGGTTCCTTTTGTGGGTACAGAGGCACAGATTACGTACAACAAAAGAAACAATACAACCAAACAATGAAGTTCCCAGGAGAAGTCTATCAGTGTTTGGTTCCTTCGGTTCTTTTGTGACGACGGTACCTCCAGAAAGACCCAGACCCTTAATCATCCCTATTCTTAGTGCTATAGGTTATTTATGGTAAGCGACGGCACACACTGCTTTATGAGACTTCCAGTCCTTTTTCTGGCAGTCTTTTGAGCAGTAATGCACGCTTTTACAACGTCCGCATGTCAGCAATTTGACGTTCTCTTTACGGCACGTTTTACACATTCCCAAAAAGTTTACTCTTGGGAGATTCCTAATGACTCTTGGGTCATTTGAAATAATCATGGCCATTGATTGCCCTGTCGTGATTGGTACATGGGTCCTTGCAGTAGAATGACGAATTGACTAATTGATTAATTGATTAAGTCTTTCCCGCGCACCAGGCAGATCAAAGTTTGTCGGGTCAAATGTCTGTGACCTGTTAATCTGCAACAATCGCATGCCTTCCTCCTTGTAGTTCTCGTGGATAGAGACAGATTGTAGCCATTTGATAGCAAGGTTGAAAGCATCAATTCCATATATCTCTTGTTCAAATGGGCCATCCGNCTGCAACAATCGCATGCCTTCCTCCTTGTAGTTCTCGTGGATAGAGACAGATTGTAGCCATTTGATAGCAAGGTTGAAAGCATCAATTCCATATATCTCTTGTTCAAATGGGCCATCCGTTACCAAATGACTCTCAGGTGGACTGATGCCCGTCCCTCCGATAAGCTCCACAGTATCTTCCTGGCCAATTTGCAAAAGTTTGAGCTGTAACGTTAAGGGTATTGTAAGGTTATGCTGGTAGTATAGAGTGTGGCCGACCTCCTGCAAAAAGTCTACGAGACAAACATCCCCATCGTCAATGATTTCCGCATTGGTGGCTTCGTCATTGAATGTCATCATCATCCCAGTGTAATCGTCTTGATAGGGTGTTGTGAACACAATGTCTTTGAAGTTTGACAAGGGTCGGCGCCCAGAGGGATAGCACGTGTGCGGGAGGTAGTACATGTATTTTAAAGGCAGTACCTTTGGATCCCAGTCGAAGACAGGACACAGAACGCGGGTTTGGAACATGCGCAGATTCATATTTGATGGGACTTTAATGTCGCGGTAAACAGGCACAGATGACCGTAGAACTGAAACACGAACCAGAAAGCTAGTTCTCTCAAGCGACAACGCAATACGAGGCAATTTTCTGTTTTCTTTGATGTTCTTCAAAGCTGCTTCCTGTAAGGGACTTAATTTTGTAGATTTTTTGGCCGACGACATAGCTTTCATCATACCTTGAGACAGCTCGGCTCTGTCTCTAAATCGCAGGTAGGCGATGGGACGACTCATGGTTGCTTCAGCAGGCATTGGATCGCTGGTGACTTGATACTGTTCTGGATATTCTTGATACCAGTCATCGCTTTCGTCGTCACTATCTTCGTCGCTTTCATCGTCGCTTTCGGGTCCTCTTCGGCTCTTTTTTTCCTCTTTTTCGGGGCTTTCCTCTTCGGGCGGCCACGATGGCATATCCGTTCCATCCTCTTGGCACCAACGCTGAAAGTTCAAATATTCCTCTTCGTTTTCTGCATCAAACTCAGCTGGGTAGACCAATATTCTACCCTGGCTGTTTTCTATATCCTAAAGAACGAAAGCAAAACATGGTGAAAAAAAAAAAAACTCCTCTGTTTCAAATGTGGGTTGTTTGACACGTGATCATGATTCTATATTACGTTTTCAATCGTTACATTGATATCTTGGCGCTATAAACTGTAAATATGGTTTTGCCAAAAGGTTTGGATAGTAGCAGACATGTTGAAATTTTAACAAACAACACAACGTTTTTTAAAAACATGTTTCAACAGAATCGTCTGTCATCTTCAGTTTAAATTACAAAGTACAGAACAAAAGGAAACATGACAATGTAAAATATTACAGAGAAAGTTTTAAATTAACATGATAAAGTTGATGATTTAGTGTAAGTTTTTCCCATTGAATATGAATAGCTCCTTTTATCTTCAGCTGGAAGGTGGTGGAAGCGTGATCTAGGATACTGAAACAGTCATTGGAGCATGAAGTGCGGCATATTCAATGGGGAAAACATACACTAAAATCATCATTGCAAACTTTGTTTGCAATGTAAAAGAGAACATAGCTTTAAGTTCCTGTGGATCGACCTATGCTGGCAAGATTTTCCTGCGGAGGAATTTGAGCTCTCCTGTGCTACCTGTCAAGTGCACAGATGATATACCGAAGTCCTAAGAGATAAGTACGAGTGATTCCCACTTGGTCTGTGATAGGTGTCCTAGTAGAGGTTCATTCCCTGATGCCCTAAACGATTAACTCCTTGCCTCGCCTGGATATTTGCTCCTCTATTACTAATGTAGCTCATCTCACAAATCTAGATATAGACTTTCATATGCCTTCGGACTCAAATTTCAATCACTTTACAACTCATGATTTCCATGCAAATAAGGATATCGTAGATTGTCTCTCTACCAATGCTTTTTCTTCCCTAAATTGCAATATTAGAAGTCTTCAAGCAAACGTAGATAACCTCATATATATGCTGTCTGAATTGTATTTCCCTTTGTCATTAATAGGTTTAACTGAAACCAAAAAAAAAATTGATCAAGATGTCATACTTAATATTAATATACCTGGCTATACTTATTTATCTCAACCAAGCCTTACTAATGCTGGAGTGGAATGTTTTGTTAAGAATGATGTAAAGTTTAGCTGTCGTCATGATCTCTCTTCGGTTGAAGATGGATATGAATCCCTCTTGATTGAAAATATTATTCAAAATGATATAGACCACAATACTACTTGTGGAACTATATCTAGATATCCCCATGGCAACTAAGACAATTTCATGATTTACTTCAATATGGTGGTTGAAAAGATTCATAGAGAAAAAAAAAATTAATGTGTTCTACTAGGTGACTTCAAATTGAATCTTCCCAAGTGTTTGAGTCACATCCTGGTACTAATGATTTTTTAAATACTTTGGGTTCTTCTTATTTCCAGCCCCAAATCGTACAACCAACTAGGATCACAGACCACTCGGCAACACTTATTCATAATATTTTCTTTAACTCCCTTGAGCATTTTACTATCAGTGGTTAGCGTAACTTAATCTATGATCTGACAGACCATTTGCCTAATTTCCTTGTTGTTAGTAAATTCTCTTCACTGCCTGATAATATTAAGATCTTTAGACGTGATCAGTCAAAGCTAGATAAGGAAGCCCTCATCCGTGATATTCAAACAATAGACTGCGTTGGTCAACTTAGTTGTTATTCTGATCCAAGCAATATGTTTGATGCTTTTTATAGTAAAATATCAGATATCATAGATATACACATTCCAATGAAACAATTATCCAGGAAAGAGATGAAAGTTAAAACTAAGCCTTGGATAACTCCTGCAATTAGGACCTCTATTAACATTAAAAATAATCTATGCAAAAAAATTTTAAAAACCAAGTCTTCTTATCACCATACAAAATTTAAGGTTTACAGAAACAAAATAAATCATCTCATTAAAATTAATATGAGACATTATTATAATGACTACTTTTCAATACATTTGAACAATGGTAAGAGAATATGGAAGGGAAGTAAGCAAATTATTCAAACGACTCCACAGGAAAAACTGACTATCAATAAAATTGTTTTAAATGACATTGAATTAACAGATAAAACTTCAACTACAAATGCTTTTAACGATTATTTTGCCAACATTGGTAATGATTTAACAAGTGCCCTTCCTAGTGTTAACAAAACTGCCTACGAGTGCATGCCACCTCCCACTCAGGATAGTTTTTTCTTCTCCCCCATTACCCCATAAGAAATAGAATGTGAAATATCAAATTTAAAAACTGAAAAAGCAGTGGGCCCTTCTAGTATTCCAGTTTCAATATTCTTAAAGGTGCATTTTCAGAACCCCTTCAATACCTCATTTGTAACTGGCATTGTTCCTGAGAGGTTTAAATTGGCCAGAGTAATTTAATATTTCAAAAGGGATCACAGGTTAGCTTGAGTAACTATCGTCCAATTTCCCTTTTATCTATTTACAAAAAGCTGTTAGAGAAATTCAAATTTGATAGATTATCTGTTTATCTATTAAAGAGATACCTTACCTACAGTAAGCAATTTTGGTTCCGCTCCCATCATTCAACTGACCATGCAGTATTAAGTATTAGCGATAATGTGCCAAAGGCAATCGAAGACGGTGAATATTCTTGTCAAGTATTCTTGGATTTCACTAAAGCCTTTGATACTGTGAACCATGAGATACTACTTACTAAACTTGAGTTCTATGGCATATGCAGCATTGTTAAAGATTGGTTTACTTCGTATCTGAATAATAGAAAACAATTTGTATCTCTTGGTAATACTTACTGTACTCTGATAAGGAAACTATTTGCTGTGGTGTTCCCCAGGGCTCTGTACTGGGACCTCTGCTTTTCTTAATTTATAAACGAATTTCATAACTGCTCAAAGGTATTAGATTTCCACCTTTTTGCTGATGATACAAATCTATTCTATAAACATAATAATATTGATATACTTGAAAGCAATCTTAACAATGAACTTAGTAGGGTTCATTCCTGGCTATGTGCAAACAAACTCTCCTGTAATGTTGACAAGTCAAATTTTGTTTTATTTCACCCAGTGCAAAGAAAAATACCTAAGTCAATTATGTTATCTATTGAAAATCATTTATTAACTCAGGAATTCTCTATTAGATATCTAGGAATTTATATTGACTCCCATCTTAGCTGGAAAAGACATAATAATATTATTAATTACACTGTTAACAAAGGTTAAAAGAAGTGTGGGCATTTTATCTGAACTCCACTATTATCTTAATAACAAAACCTTGCAAGACCTCCATTATGCTCTAATTTATCCATTTTTATCATACTGAATAAAAGCTTGGGGTAATAGTTATAAATCTACTTTGCAACCATACAAAAGAAAGCCATAACAATCATAATAACTTTTCTAGCTTCCTTGAACATTCTAGTCCACTTTTTAAAAAATTAAATGTTATCAAATTATCAGATGCAGTTACTCTTCACAATGCTGTTTTCATGGACAAATTTCAAAATCATCTTTTTTCTACAAATTTTGAGGTCTTTTCATTTCAGTGAAAGATACCCATAACTACAATACAAGGCTTTCATCTAGAATGACTTATGCTCTCCCAAAAAAACCCAGAACAAACTATGCAATCTAAAATTGTAGTCTTTATTCCCACGACGAAAAGGGGAGACAACTCGCAATTGAGCTGTAGAAACTCAATGGTCCACAGTCTAAGGTCAAAGTCCCCAGCCGCGTGATCTTTGAGAAATAACCTTTAACTTTGATGTTATCTTTAGTTTCTCATAGTCTGCTTGGCAGCTGTTATGAGCCAAATAACGGCTGTTAAGAAGACTTAAGGGTTGTCATGCATTCCTCTAACTGTAAGTGGTCCCTTGGAATTACAGTTCTAGCACGTCTGCAGGGTGTAACTTCCTTGGCAAAACGAGAAAAACCGTAAAATGCATTGGGCAGAAAAACCCGAAAAACCACCATCTTTGTTGGCAAAACCAAAAACCAAAGACTAAATTGGAGAAAACCCGCAAACCACAGAAGACACCAAAACCAGAAAACTGCAGTTTTTTAATGCAAAAACTGAAAAACCACACCAAAAATTGGCCGAATCCACAAAATCAAAAATCCCAATGGCCCTCTCTTTAAGCAGTCTTCCTGAGCTGTCTGTACTTTGATTTGTTGTCATGCTCATCGGTACATTTGCAGACTTTATTTGTCCTTACACTGGTTGTTCTTTTGCCCTTGTTTGCCCATTTTAGTCTCTTTCTCTTCAATGTGACAGCAAACGATTCTTTTCCCCGGAAATCCTGATCATTTGTCATTGATGCTAGGAGGTCCAGTTGTTCTATTGGTTTGCGGTTTCATAAAGTGAGACAATTTCCTGGCATGGCATGAGTTATTTACGAACCTTTACGATCTAAAATCTCGCATTTGATTTTGGGAGGAATACACCCACTTTGAGCAAATTTACAGGGTATGCAGATTTGACAGATTTTCATGAAATTTCACCAGAACATTCTGCACAGTGGATTTAGATAACGAATGTTCAAAGAGATCTAGAGAGTGCTTGTCAGCTAAAAGCGATTGACTTATGTTGACCATCGCTTGAAAAATTCAATCTACAAAAAAGCGCGTGGGGGGGGGGGGGGGGGGAGTGTTTTCCCCTGAAATCTGCCCATGAATTAAGACTCTTGAACCTTCTGGGATAAACAGGCGAGACAAAATTAAATCTATTCATATTTTTTAATGTATCCGCTTTAGCATATGTTTTCTTTTTCTCTTATTTTCATCAACCAATCATGTCACATATTAACTTTAGCATCATTTCCCCCCCCCGGGTCAGATCATGGGTGCAACGCGCAAGATGCATGCAACCAGGCTGCTAGTTCAGCGATATTTTTTAAAGAAAATTAAAAATGGTGGATAAAGATATTCACACTCGACTGACTTCAGTGTTTCAGGTGAAGAATTTTTACAAGATTAATATTAATATTGTTGGATAGTCTTTACTCATACACTTTTTGGTTTTGGTTGTGGACAAAGTTATTTAGCAATGGTGGTTATGCTGCAAAATTGCATAAACATGCTTAGAGGTACAATGTTTGCATATTTTTTGCATCAGACCAAATAAAGGAAGAGAGCAACAAAAACATTTTGGTTTTTTTGAGCAGTTTTTGTCACAAAAGCAACGTTTGACCTTTTTTACCAACCTTTTAGAAATTGCAGGCAACTTTTTGGGAAATCTCGAGCAACTTGTGGAAAGCCCTAGCTTTTCTCATTTGGATTAATATAGTGTAATCAAGAGCGGATGCCAAAACTACAAAATCGTCCGAAATTTGCCTTACATATTGGATTATTTTATTATCAACAAAATCCAAGTAACTGTGGAGCTCTGCTTTTATGCTTGGCTAAATCTAGATATTACATACCTTTTGACCTTGAGCATACTGCGGTTTGTCTTGGACATCAGACTCCTTAGTGTTGGCTCCTTTCCTTTCACTCATACTACACATATCATGACATATTCATCTTAGCTTTTCTGCGATTTGCCTGCAAAAGTAAAATGTCGTATCTTAACCCTACATGCACCATGCAACTGAACTGCACCCACAATTAAATAAATCAAGGCAAAACAGTCATCCCCATCCAGCGTTTGAAATAATTTTTCTGCTGACCCCAGTCAAGTTGTCCGGTCAAATCTTGTCTTGTTCCTGCCCCTCATCCAAAAAAGTGAGCATGAAAAAATCACTGAGTGAGAAATTAGAAGGAGCAGACTGTAAAGGTGTTTGAGCAACATCGACACTTGAGGAAAAGTGCCCTATGATTACAATTTTTTAGAACTCATGTGGGTTGTCCTAATTGACTTCTGACAACAGTTTGTCTTTACATAAACTTCGTTTACTTTTCTCTCTGTCGAGTATGAAAGTAGACCTTATTTCATGTGGCACTAAGTGCTCTATGTGTATACAGTGCACAACCATAGTAGAAAATTAAAGTGAGTCTCTTAAAGCTCTCAATGCCGTTAGTCGTCGTCATTGCCACTGCCACCATCGTCAACGTCGTCATCATCATCATCATTATCATATTTGAGACAGGGTCCTTTCGAACTATACTGACTAAAAAACTGAATTCCGTAGAGGGGGAAGGGTGATTTAAATGAAAAGTAAAAGAATGTCCTGACAGGCCTTGTGAGATCAAGTTCACTTCAAATTTTAATATCATCAAAGCTGAACGTACTTCTGATGTAATATATCTCAATATCTCTCTGATGTAATATATCTGTAGGCCGCCAAGTGGTTTCTTATGACAGTTGGCACCTTAAGGAACGGGGGTGGGGGGGCAGGGGGGCTTCACCTGAAATTCTGTAAAAATTTAGATATTTTGCTTTTAGTGGGATTTGAATATTATGGTATTGGAGTTTTATTTTGAGAAGCATTTCTCCCTGTAATTTCATATCTTGTTTTCTCAAAACGTGTTATTTTTGGGAAATGATATCTCAAGAAGGATTTAAAATTTTGACCTCAAATTTTCAGGCTAGCTAGATCTCATTGGTTTAATTGATATGAACGAGGGGATTTGCCATAGAATTCTTAGGATGAAAGTTATCAAAATAAATGCTTCCCAATTTGGATTGCACAACTTTAGATGGTTGTCAGAGATCCGCATTCTCAAAGTTTTGCACAATCCCTCATTCATTTTAGGTGGTCATTATTATCTCCTCAGAGCTTTATTATCTAGCTCTCTGCACGCACTGCAGGCCTATGATGCTCCCTCATCATAGGCCTGCAGTGCGTGCAGAGAGCTAGATAATAAAGCTCTGAGGAGAAATATTTTGTTTACTTTAGAATACAAGTGAAAAAAAACATGTTTTTCTGTTAATCGTAAATAAAAATCTTTTCTCAAGAGCATAGGGGTTATGCACAGCATGTGATACTTTGAGAGCCCGATGTCATGTTACAATAACAATTGACACAGCTTTGAAATATACATTTTTGTAATTTGCAAGCAATTGGCTTTTCAGTGTTATGTAGTTAGTCATAGGGTTTTGATGAAAAGCAGGGTTGTGACAACTGTGCGAAAAAAGGCATATTTTAGGCAAAGCCCCGCCTTAAGTAGTACAGTGTAAAGTGTACCTGCATTTGTATCCGCTGCTGATCTTAATTACCGGCAAGTATTGCTGGCTGACCGAACAGTTATCAGACAGGACAATGGCCTTTCCTTTCCTTTCTGGTGTTTCCTTTTAAGTTTCAAGGTTTGTAAGCCTCTTTCTCTGACATTTGCCTTGCAAAAAAGGACTTGAACTGAAATGATAAGTGACCTGGGGTTTTCTGTAAGCTACAGGTCGGTTAAATGTGTATCGTGAAAATCCACCGTAAGAATATCATATCCTTTCCTATTTTAGTTTTCCATCAACAAAGCAGGGACACAAATCAAAGCGAACGAAGACCAAGACTTTTGTTTTTGTGGAAGCTCTAAAAAGAGCTATTTGGAATGTCTTACACCCACTTTCAGTGTTATGCGCATAGGCAACATCTTTCAACACGCCATCTTTCGACATGCTATGTAAACAGTTGAAAGACCATTAAACGGTGAAACTAGCAATTTCTCTGGTTATTAGTGGAACAAATCTCAAGGAAATGATAATTACTGACCTCAGATGAATGAAGAAAATCGTGGACTTGCACGTTTCCCGATTTACGGGATAATTCAAACGACTTTAGTGTAGTCCATTGGCTCTGAATAGTGACTTCCAGTAGAATCTTCCGTAGGAAAAAAGATGGCGACTGGTACATTTACCCATAGTTCTTAGTGCAAGAAAACCTTAACAACGTTCATAAAAACGTGCAGAAAAGTTATAAAATCTTCAAAGCTACATGTAGGCTACACAATGTCCTCAGCACAGGAACAAATATTGTAAACATTTGGCTTTCTTCATGCCATATAAGCTGTGTTAGGTTCGCAAGGTATTGTGGTAAAATGTACAGCCGCCATCTTTTTTCCTACGGTGGATTGGACCGCTACCAATCAGTTAACATTTGAAAGATGTAAACATCCAAAACAGTTCATTTATCTCCTACAGAATGACTTCTTGATACTCCTAGCCTTATAATTAGTCTGATGTCATATAAATCCATCTTTCATGACTAAAAGGCGAGTTCAACCATAAAGAAGTCAGTTATGCTCACATTTCTGATGTAGGCCTTGTTACATAGCATGTCAAGAGATGGCATGTCGAAAGACTGTTGCTATACACATAACACTGAAAGAGGGTGTAACAATGGGGTGTTTTAATTTCTTTCTTGAATTTTTCTTTGGTGGTGTACTTCTCTAGAACATCCACCACTAAGGAATGGCATAACTGACTGGTGACGTAAACAAATTTCAAAAGTGAATATGACGAAGAAGGCTTCACCTCAGGGGAGATCTGCCCCTGCTGTAAGTCTGCTGTGGCCAAAACAAGACTATCTCGAAGGGACAGGTATGTTTTGCAGGTTGGAGGTTGAAAAATCAACTTTTACATCACAGTGAGTTTACTTTAGCATTTCGGTTAGCCTGAATAGCACTCCGGTTAGCCTAATTTAACTTAGGTTGCTTGCGGTTGGCCTTTATACTGGGGTTTATTCAACTTCAACTCAAATAACCAAGTCGCTTCAACCTGCAACCTGCAATCTGCAAAATATACCTGCTGATCTCGAAGGACTTCTAGCAATATATACCTCATGTTGTTTTTTTAACATCTCGAGTATGTCGAGATGCTCGTCTCGAATATAGGATAGCTTCTGTAACGTTCGTCCAAACGGTGCATCTTGACACACAAACGTCTCTGTTGCTGATCAGCCAATTGCTGAACAAACCATGAAAGTAAAAACTTTTTCTTTTAATAAGTTTTAGATTTTACTAGATTGCTACTGTTGATAGAGGTCATTGAGTATGCAAGCTTTCAGTGAAACTACCTTTGAGAACGTTTTGGTTTTTCACGCATTTTTAGTGCGTTTGCATCCCGACTTCGACACTCGCGCATTCAGGCATTGCGTAAATTTTTTAGGCAAGGTCACCCCCCCTCCCCCGTCCCCCGCGCGCCCCGTACGCCTATGTGGGCATTTTTGTCTCGAAAACAACAAGGAAACATGAGACCACAACGATCACTTTGCCATGATTTAAATAGATTTCGAGTCGATACGGTCCCCATTAACAAATACAGGACTTGAGAATAATGCCGGAATGCCTGGTGGCGGCGAAGGACAATCGACCACAATCGAATCAGAAAAGTTGCTGTGAAACGAAAGATGTAAGAACTTAAGTAATTTTTTCGCACCTGTGCTTTAAACTGTTATTACTGATACGGAAGGTATTGAAATCAAACAAACAGAGCAAAGCCCTTACCTCACAGCTTAATATTCAGCGATACGAAACATAAATACAAGGTGGTTCGAGGAAATCAAGTTGTTCAACCCTGCTAGTATGTGTGGATTTCTCGGAAACAGGCTTGTCGTGTGCGCGTGCGCGAAAGTTTAAAGGGAGCGGGGGCGAGAGCGGGTTACACGAGCCAACCACGAGCTCGAGCCGAAATGAACAAATGTAGAAAACCACCTATACTCATATATTTTGTTCCCTACAATCTCTTTTTTTCGGAACGAAAGAAAAAGAAAGAAACAAAATTGGCTTGACTCGTGGTTGACTCAAGGATGACTCGTGACTCGAGGTTGGCTTGGTCTCGCAGTTGGCTTGTGTAACGCTACAACTCAGCGGGTCGGGGGAGGGGATGATAAAGGAAAGCAAATACAAAAGTCAATGACCTCTCAAACGGCGTTTTGTGAGTTCGAGTAATTGACGGTAAGCCTGATGTATGGGTTAAAATCTCAGAAAATCCGGTTTTGTCAAGTTATCTAGGTTTTGCAGGGTGTCTCGAAAACTGACAACTAACAGGTAGAACTCCACGGCATCTCAACCAATCCCTAAAATATATAACGCGACTGCACTACTCACACATCCCTAATACACATAAAAGACTTCACATACGCATAGTACAATGACGCCCAAATATACGCTCCCACAGCGTCTTGTTTTTTTAAAAACAACAGCAGCAAAAACGGCCTTTTAATGCATTAATTAATCAGTTCATTTTTTTAATAAAACCTGCCAAGTATTTTTGTGATTAGAAAACCTCAAATGGCAAGCTCACTGAAACAGTTGAAGTTTCGTCCATGGTAAGATTTCGTACATAACTGGTTGGAAGCCCTCATGCTTAAGCAGAAGGAATACGTTGAATGGTAGTTTTCTTTTGAAAGTCTTTACAGTTTACGTACATTTTTCATGAATCAGTTGAAAATTCGAGAAATAAACCAAGATTTGATTAAATGTAGCGAAGGTAGTGACTGCAGTGCTACAAATGAAACTGCCTCCCATTAGTAACTGTACCGTGGTAGTGGCCAACCCGAAAGCTTTGCTCCTTTGGCCTTTACACACTTTTCCCGCCAATGTACATTGAGGGTGAAACCCCGCACCTTGCAGCAGACGTTACCGTTCTTGGTGGTGTATTCATAGTTTTTCGGACCAGCCGAGGTGAATACCGTGATGTAATCGCCGTCGTCGAGTTCGTTGGTCATCTGTGTCGGGCTTTTCCGCTCTGAATTCTAACTAGGGGAAACGGGCGTGTGAGAGGCCTAACCGGCTGGACGACTGTGCTTGACTCGGGAATTAGCTCGGAGCAACTCGCTTGCTGCGGGAAAGGAACTTGTCACTGGTTCCAAAGTACCGTCGGATCTGCTACAACTGAAATCAGGACACTCAGAGAACTTCACAAGTTTATTCTTCGTACCGCTATACGTCTTCGATGTACAACTCTTTGATGTAACTGGTAAATCGTCGAGATTTAAATCGTCTTACAATGAACAGAGTACATTACATATACTAACGCAATACACGATTGCATCATGTAAGAAACAAAATAAAGACGGCTAAGTCCGCTTGAAACTAATGACAACCTAAAAGGCAGGAATAGACATCTGAATAGAGTCGGCTTAATTGAAATCGTCGACTAACTAAACTCAGTTTACAAGATAAATGTGTCAACAAGACTTAACAAAAGTTATATGCGTAGGCTGTATATTCAGCGTAAAAAGCTGCATAAAGATACCTTATTTTTGGGACAACTGAAACTAGAACAAAACAGCTTTCTTTATACTTTCTTACTGTACCAAATCGTAGTTTGAACTGCGACCAGCTCTACGGGAGCGTATTGAAACTTAATTACTTGAAACACAATATAGATTGCTTTATCGCAAGTCACTGGGAATTACCTCGAACATAGAAGATATTTCACAATTTTTAGCCAAACAATGCAAAGTAGAAGTATTATTTTTAACACCATTGCTATATTTTTCCCCTGACACATGCATGTCACCCAATTGCAAGAAATCGCTGAGCGAGATGTGTGACTGCCCTGGACACCAACGGTAGATGACGGATCCGTGTCAAAGTAGAGTGCCTGCTGAGGTAGCTTTTCCAGGGACTCGTAGGTCATTTCGGAGAGAGGATATTGGTACCAATACAGATCTGGTCTTTGACTTCACGGTGGGTTCTGCACAGGTACTGCAAGACGAACTAGCCTTTGACGAAGACGGAGACGATCGAAATGTCATTGTGGTCTTCCATAATTTCAAGGGTTATGACGGCATGTTCGTCTTGCCGTACCTGTATAGAACCCACCGTGAAGTCAAAGACCAGATATATATTGGTACCAAGATCCTCTTGCTGAAATCGGGCAAAGTCATGTTCAAGGACTCACTCTGTTTTCTTCCCTTTCCTCTCCTCAACTTTCCTGCCACCTTCGGACTGACCGAGTTACGCAAGGGGTTCTTTCCTCAATCATCTATTCACATTCGTTGGAAAACCAAGACTGTGAAGGACCCATGCCAACCTCCGACATGTTCGACCCTGACGGTATATGAACGCCAAAATAGAAAGCTGAGTTCAAGCGGTGGTACGCAGAGCAAATGGCGAACGAGTACACTTTCAACCTGCAGCGTGAGTTGAAAGCGTACTGCGTCTCTGACGTGAAATCAGTTGTTGAAGGTCGGCTACCAAAAATTCCAACAAGAATTCTAACAACATGCAGAGTTTGATCCCATGGAGAAGTGCGGCACGCACCATCGCCTCGGCCTGCAACCGTTACTGGCGCAAAAAGTTGTTACCTCAGAGCACCATCGCCGTGGAACACCCACGCGGTTGGCACGGTGTCCGCAACAATCAGTCTGTGAAAACGTTCCAATAGCTGGCTTGGCAGGAACACCGGTTATGTGTCAATACCCCCACTTCCTCGACCGGCGAGCCAACGGCTGACCGTATTCGTCACGCGGGCAATGGCGGGGAAGTGAGGTTAACCACACCGGCCCAACCTATCCGCGTCGATGGCTACAACGCACTCACTCGTACCGTCTACGAGTTCCATGGTGTCTGTAGCACGGGTGTTCTCGTTGTTTCCACGCCAAGTTCCATCCCGATCGTACGTTTCAGGTGTGCGAGGCCACGCGAGCCAAAGAAGACATCTTGTTCGCCCAGGGGTTCAGTGTCATCGTCAAGCGGGGAATGCGAGAGGGACCACGAGGTCGAAAGCGACGCCGCTCTAAAATAGTACCTGGCCGCTCTCGAGATCGTCGAACCCTTGCAGCCTTGTGATGCTTTCTTCGGAGGGCGCACCAATGCTGCTACTCTCAGATAACCTCAAGTGAACAAGAACGGTGAGTACCCTGTAGGTTATCCAGAGATCATGACTCATCCAGAAGACCAAAACATCATCCATTACTTCGGGGTGGCCAAAGTGGATGTCCTCCTACCGTCCCACCCTGTCTTGCCGTACCGTTGCCGTGAAAAGTTGGTGCTACCTCTGTGCCAAAGTTGTGCAGAGAGTGAAATGACCAAACCCATGTTGGAAAGATCCTAGGGATGTCCGCACACTCCCGAGGAACGCACCTTGCCTGACACGTGGTGCACGCCAAAACTCGTGAAGGCAGTTGAACTGGGCTACCACATCCTCTACATCCATGAAGTCTGGCACTTTCCAGAAAAACAACGTAAAAAGGGGCTTTTCAAACCCTATGTCAACAAGTGGCCCAAAATCAAATAGGAGTCGGTCGGGTACCCGAGTTGGGCACGTAATGAGGAGGATAAAGCTCGATACGTCCGAGAGTACCGTGAACGCGAGGGGATCTCACTCGACCCGTCCATGATGGTAAAAAACTCCGACAGAATAGTCACGGCCAAACTTATGCTGAACTCCTTCTGGGGTAAATTTGGAGAGAGCCTCAACAAGCCCACCACCGCGGCCATCGAAGAACCGGCGTCCCTCTTCCAGGCGGTCTCCGATCCGTTGTGGCACGTCCACGCCATAGATATCTGCACAGACGACAAATTGGAGATCATGTACTCCAACATCAAAGAAAATCAACCAGACCATGGCAAGACGAACATCTTTGTCGCTGCCTACACCACTTGTCTGGCTTGTCTCAAACTCTACAAGTCCCTGGAAAAGTTACAGCAGCATGCAGACTCTCTACTTTGACACGGATTCCGTCGTCTGCCGTTGGCTTCCAAGGCAGTCACACATCCTGCTCGGCGATTTCTTGCAGCTGGGTGACATGTATGACCAACGAACTCGACGACGGCGATTACATCACAGAATTGACCTCTGCTGGTCCGAAAAACTATGGACACACCACCAAGAACGGTAGCGTCTGTTGCAAGGTGCGGGATTTCACCCTCAATGTACGTGGATCCGCTCAGCTTAATTGCCTGGTGATGCGACCGAACGTCGTTGAGGAGCTAGCTACCGGACCCTCTGGATGAAGGTCGAAGAAACATCGATATCGTCAACCCTTACTTTTTTAACCGCGATCCGGCCACCGAACGCTTGAAAGTGGGATCGACCCCGCACCAGACGCTACGGCCTGGTCTTTGACAAGCGCGTGGTAGACCCTCGAACCTTTCAATCCTACCCATATGGTTAGCGCTTTGTAAATAGTTTTCCCTCACCTACTCAGGTCAACGCACACGCAATGTTGGAGAATGCTCACTTTTTTCTCCCTCGTATCCCCCACCGTAAAACGCACACGCTAATCTATTCTGTAAATAGTTTTATGGGCGCTACGGTCACTAGGATCGGCACACGCCCCGAGTGTAAAAATAAAGATTTTATGGCAGAAAGACAATTTTTTTCCTGGTGTGATTTTTAGGGTTAGGGTTCTCATGCAAATCAGTTAGGGTTAATTATGCACATTCCAAACTGATGACGTCAATATAATTTATGTAAAAATTAAACTAGGCGCCATCTTGTTACCATATCGGACATCATGACGTCATTTCTTGGTCACGTGGTATAAAATCCTACAATGTGATTGGTCGAGAGCTTCATTTGCATACGCTAATGAGATACAAATGTATTACTCCCCTAATAAG